TGTGTGTAAGAAACTCTTCGGTGTGATTTTTGTAAAAGATGAAGTGTGGAAGCAACTATTAGCTTAGCTGTTATTTTATTTTATTTTTTGTTTCATAATTGTGTGTAAGCAAAGAATTGTGACTGTGTAGCTCGCAAATTTTTTTTTTTTCATTTGACTATTACCCATGTTTTTTTTCATTATTATTATTATTATTATTATTATTATTATTATTAGTTTACCAAAGTATAATATTCCATTAAGCTTTAAAAAGGGACCTCGTTTCGCATGTCCAATTCTCGATGTTGGAAAAAATTTCTAATAGTGCCGATCGGTAGATTTTAATTCTAAGATTCGAAAAACCCAAACATATAAATTTTTCAATTTGTAGAACTGCGGATGTTTGCATTTAAAGTTTCGCGATTAATAAATCTGAAAACGTATGATTTTTTCGACTTTTATAAATATTTTTACAAAAATATTTCAAATATGAAATTAAATATTAGGCTATAGTCTGAGTCCAAAAATGCTTTCGGAATTTTCATTTGAGGTGTGCAAGTCCCTTAACAGATAGAAACGGATTTAGCGGTTTTAAGAAATCAGTATTATACTGGTTTTGGATTCTTAAAACGGTCGTATCTTTTGCATACAAACTCCGTTTTGGACGTTCTTTATATTTTCGTAAACAGGGAAACGCGTACTACGAGACTAGAGCGTTCTTTATATTTTCGGAAGTAAGACACCATGTGGTATCTTATAATAGTTGAAGTAACTCATTTATTTTACATTCGATGCTCTAAAACTCGATGAATAAAATTACAAATAGATTTACTGTGAACTTGACTGTTCACAGTCTTTGACCTAAATTTCGGGATGTCACGGTACTAGCATGCAAGTCTACAAGCTCATACAATAGGTATACAAGACATCTCTCCTAGCATTCTATAATGCAAATACTTAGCAGATCCTTAGCCCTAACTAGCATGTTATTCACAGATTCACAATTCAAATCATATTAGATAACATGTTTGGGTATCTTGGAAAAATTTACTTGAGCTCGGTCGATTGCATGCACCACACCCTTTCTTGTATTAGAACACTTGTTTTTCTCTTTAAAACATTTCTTTTTACCCTGCCCCTAACTTGGGAAAACTTACATGTGATTCACTGCTGAATCTCACAGAAAGATATATGGTTGCTGGCCCGCTAAAATCCCCGCGTTATCACAAAATAACATCCAATTAATAATTGGATCCCGACTCACACTAAGACTCCAAACTAGGGTAAAACACCTTTTTACCCTGCCCCTAACTTGGCCCAAGGCCAAGGCCCAATCCAAATGTCTAAAAAGCCCAAATTCCAAAATAATCATCCAAGACCCAAATATGGCCCAATTTCCAAATTAGGCCCAAACCCCCTTAATGGGCCTTCAACCAAGATCCAATAAAACATCCTTAGCCTAAAATAGGATTTTGATGGCCCAACAAGGCCCTAATCATCCATAGTCCAATCATGGCCCAACACCGTGAGCCCAAACCTTCCGAAGCCCAACAGCTGAGTACGCGCGGCGTACTCAGCTCGTACGCTAAGCGTACTCGCATGGAGGCTTGTACGTGCGGCGTACCAGCTTGTACGCCCAACGTACTCCTCAGCTTTGCCATCTTCTTTATTCAACACGTATCGATTAAGACTTCGACCCAAAACCTAGATTTAACTTCCCTAAGGTGGTTTATCATGTAAAGTTGCCAACTTTATGTGCATGCATGGCTTAATGGTGCTTTAGAGATCAAAAGAGCTTAATAAACGACTTAACACATGCATGAGACCAAAACCACCATAAAGTTTGCACCTTTATGCTAAAGAAGCCCTTAATATGCCTAGATCAACAAGGATAAACTCCAAAAACGACCTTAGCTCACAAACCAACCAAAAAGGAACAAAAAGGCCAAAAAACTAGCCAAGGAAATAGATCTATGAAAAGAGATGACAAGCTTTGAACTTTATACCTCAAAAGCCACGAAATGAAGGTGCTAAACCTGGATCTCTAAGCTTCCCTCCAAAGAATGAGTCTTCAAGCTTCTTCATTTACTACTTCAAGATGCATAAAACCCTCAAATGATCAAAACAAGAGAACAAGGGCACCACAAAAGGCAAAGAGACAAATTAGGGTTTTCAAAGAGTGGAGGTTGGTCTAAAATGTCCAGGATGTGAGTTAATGAGGCTTAAATGGGGCACAAACCCTAAAAATTAGGGTTTTCCCCTGACCAGCTTACGCCCCGTGTAACCCTCGTACGCCCAGTGTACGAGGCTCAAACCTGCGATCACACTTTAGCTAGTACGCTAAGCGTACACTATGGTACGCCCCGCGTACTAGCCACAAGGACCAAAAATTTAGTGTTTTAATTACGAAGGGCTAAAAGGAAACATACCCATTTCAAGTGTTACACCTTCAATATTTGAGCAACATCAGACGGATTAGAGAAGCATCAAGTTTTTATTTCTTTCTTCATAAATCTTTATGAAGCTTTGAAATTAGACCGACATCAGAAGCCTTCAATGGTCAATAAGAGGTGTTAATTAATATATGTGTATTAGGAAGGGAAGAAATCAAAAGGTATGATACATTTTTTTTAAATCTATAAGATACATATATGATGTGGTTTAGAAGTTTTTCTTGAAATCAGATTTTTTTTATAAGAAGAAATCAAGATTTGAAACACTAAAGGTATTCTTATAAATCTCACCTCGAATTTTCAATAAGTCCATTTTTCCTTTTCATTCATTATGATTCCTATTAATTTTTCTTGATATCATAAGCATATGGGCCGGCCCATGAGCCTAGGCAAGCTGGGCGACCGCCCCGGGCCCCAAATACCAAAGGGCCCCCATTGTTTATTTTTTATATTAGTTATACAGTATTAGCCCATTAGATTTAAGCATGTTGGACTGATTATTCAAAACCCAATACACTTATCTGCTTAAAGCAAAGCTTCAACCCAAAAAGAGAAGCAGGAGGAGCGCTGCGTGAGATGAGTGATTCCGATTTCCAGGGCACAATAAATCATCAACAATCGATTTCTATGGAGTATGGAAAATCCAAACATTTTCTCCATATTCCATAAACAACGGTTAGTTGTATTTCTTCTATTTCTTATTCAAATTTCAATCGAATCGATTTCTATTCCTTCTGATTTTATGATTTTGTCCACAACAACTTACAACCATCGTCCATCGTATATGATACTAAAATCGACAATGAATCAGGGAATGAATCGAGAGCTTATTAACATTTACTTCTCCTTTTCAGTTTTCACGATTCCTGAAACTCGATTATTGTCTGTCCATTTTCGATTTCCATTTTTTTCTGGAATAGCGTCGGACCGCCAACGCATAAGAATCGACAATCACAGTCTTCTATTGTTCTTGAAATTGAGACGAAATTACCAGTAGAATATGAGTATCCCACATTTTGATTGTGATTTGTGAATCTCTGTTACTCTGTAAATTCAACTTTCTAGCCTTGAAATTTCTTATTCTTCCGTGATATTCTTTTTTATGAATCTTTTCTGATCTTCAGAATTTTATGTTGTGTAACTGTATAGAATCTAGTTCTTGTTGATATTCTAGGTTTCAAAATTTCATATTCTTGCTGAGTTGGTTGAAGTTTCAAAAATCAGAAGTTTAATTACTATATTTCTTATTCTGAATTATTTTTATTAGAAGCAAATGAAATTTTTTCTCTATTGAGTGTAATATGACATTATAATTATGACTTTTTCCCTTTATGGTTCGTTTTTTTATTTTTTATAGGTTTTTACAAGAAAGAGGTATAAAACCTTTACTACTTGAGTTTCAAAATTGATGAACCTTTTGGTCGACAAAGTTATTTATGAGGATGTTTTTGAAAAATTCATTTCAACGAATATTAAAATGATGGTTGTTTTCAATTAGAATATATTTTATTTTTGTGTACTATTTTGATTTTTGAATGAAATTTTAGTTATGTATTTTGCAATATAATATGAAAAAATATAAATGTTTTGCTAAAATTTTTGTCTTTAAATGTTAGGGCCTATTTTTTTGATAAATTACATCAGGCTTCCAAAATCCCCCGTCTTGTATAAGCTGCTAAAATCCAAAAATAATCAATCTATAACGACTTTCTACCGGTTTGACTTGTAAAATATGTAAAGAGCGAAACCATGTCAAGTGTTTATAGAGATAATTAATAAAGATGACATGGTCATCAAAGTCGTTCCGAACATATTTTGGGCCCCGGACAAAAGGGGAAAAAAGACCCTCAAAATACATAAATTTCATGAACTATTTTTATAATAACTCAATAATTAAAAGAAAAGTACATATACTAGCTTCTAAATATAACATTTTCCATTAAAAAATCCATACATTCAAAGAAAATATATTTTCTAGCTTTTCGAGATGTAAAATCATTAATATCTTCAAAATCGATCTTGTCTGATATATATAATTAATAGAGTTTATAAAAAATTTGGGTCCCTTTAAAATATAGGTCATGGACGGTCGTCCCTATCGACCACCCTCCTCTGGGAAGGGAACTTTACAAATGAAATAAACAACCAATGATGGATTTCATGTGATATAATATTCATCGCTGCCTAGACTTTCAGCATTGAGTTTTATTTGGGGTTGTATTCGCCGGTCATTGGATTTTATTAGATTCACCTTATTAAATTGAACGCCATGCCCACCGTCCTCCATGAAAGCATTCGTGACCTGATCTCGTTGACTAGTAAAGTTGATATCCATATCTTTGGTTTGTATCGAATCAAAGACACATATCTGTATACTTTTTCCCATTTAAAACGGTGCAATAAATTGTTACATTTGCGAAGATGCATGCTACAAGTATGATACACTTATTAATCCAAATTGACTGGGAACGAAAAGATTAAAAATCAAATGCATAATTAATGTCACACAAGTAAATGAAAACAAGCTAAAGCCAGAAACAACACAGAATCTTGATGCATTTGATCGCATTAATAGTAACGATTACGATGCAATCCGCTGATGCCCATTAGCTTTGTATCTATCATCATTTGGTGAATTTTCATCTGATTCTGTAATTTAAACATTTCAACCTGAAACGTCATTGCATCCATCGGAGCTTTCTCTGTCACCTTCGCTGCCACGCACTGAACATGCATACCATAATCACAACCCGACATACAATAGTAAATACAGTGTTTCTGCGCAATCCCACCTCTACAGACATCGCATTCAAACGTTTCGTGTGGATTCACATGAAGTAACGAAAGCCCATGTTCATGATCTTCCCGCCGGACAGTTTCCGGCAAGTTACAGCATACCACATGTGCGTCATAGCCACAAACACCGCAGTTATACAACTCACCATCGCAGACCATACCACACACATCGCAAGTACATACGATATCATCAGCGTAAGGTGGGTTGGGGAGATAAAGTAAAGGGTGGCTCGGGTGAGCCTTAAGTTGGATCTGCTTTGGTGGATCAATACTCTTGTCGGACTTAGGTTTAAGGTCTTTATAAGCACAGTGGACATGGAGGTCGAATTCGCAAATGGAGCAACAGAAACACAAACCTGAACCAGTTTGATTACATGAGTTGCATATGAAAGAACCGGCGGTGTACGTTGAAGAAGGGAACAACGAGAGAGGGTGAGCGGGGTGTGATGGATGGACCAATGATCTTGCTGCATCGAAGCATTGGTCGTGAAGGAAAAATTTGCAACGGCGGCAAGAGTAGACCGGAGTGCCGGTACAAGGAAGTTTGCAGCCAGTACAAGTGAGTTGTGCAGCTTCCAAGCTTTTGTGGAAGGAAAGATTGTGTGGGTGGCTAAAATGCTTATACTCTTCCATATTTGGTAAGATGGGATGTTGCAGTCACAGGTGAGGTTATATATATATATATATATATATATATATATATATATATATATATATATAATGCAGACAATTAAAATAAACTATTCTTCAGCAAAGTCGTAGAAGACTTGTATGAGGTAAATTGATCCCGATGTATCTCCAAAGATCTCGTCCTACTCTAATATCCAAAGTCAACCTAAGTTTTTTTTTTTGTAAATTCATTAAAGGAAAGGAAAGGAAAATTTTGACGGAAAGAAAAGGAGGTGAAGGAAAATATTCATTATTCCGTGTTCCCGAGTTCGAAGGAAATGAAAAGAAATGAAATGAAAATTTTAAGTTTTTGTGTTCCCGAGTTAGGAGGAAAAAGAAAATAAAACTAAAAATTTTCCTTCCCCTCACTTTCTTCCCAAGTCCGTCCAATTTGGGAGGAAAATTTGGAAGGAAAATATGACTCCAAAATTCTTCCCCTTCCCTCACTTTCCTTCCATTAATGAAACTCGGGAACACGATTTTTCTTCGACACCCCTCATTTTCCCTCCGCATCCTCCCATTTCTCTCCTTAAGTGAAACTCAAGAACAAGGCGTAACTCTAATGATTTCAATAGATTGTCACATCATTATTTTATTACTAAATTAGTAAATTATTTTACCTATTAAATTTTATATAACTCAATGGATTGTCACGTCATATATTATGTTCTTGTTATTTATTATTATTTTGTAAACGATTTGTTATTATGAAATTAAAATTTAAAAACTACAATAAAAAATAAGAGTAATTAAAAATTACAAATTACAAATTTGAAATATAAAATAATATTAATACCAATATATATATATATATATATATATATATATATATATATATATATATATATATATATATATATATATGGCTAGGTTATAATGTGAATGATATCTATTGTGTGGTAGTAAGAACAATTCTGAACCAATGGATGAAAATCAAGAATGACTATGATTTGACGGTCTATACTATTATAGTGGAATAGCATGTATCATATAATAACACAAATTTCATAGAAAGGGTAATTTAGTCAATTTAGCAAGTTTAAAAAAGGAAAATTCCGGATTTTAAGGATGCTTGATTTTCTTGATTTAAAATTTCAGTTTTTGGAGAATAATTTCTCTTAGTTCGGAATTTTGAAAAAATATGTATGTAAATATGGTGTGCATTCTAACAGAATATACTTATAAATATGAAATCAACTTTTTTTAATAAAATATTCATTCTTAGAAGAATGTAATACACAAAAACATTTCTTAAAAAATAACATATTAAATAATTACATTCTATGAAGTAGTCTACATCAAAAAACTGAAAAATCTAAAAACCAATAACAATTTTTTTTTTTGTATTCTTGAAGAATAAGATACAAAAAACCGTTCTTGGAGAATGTCAACCATATAATCGAATTATAGGTTTTCTTCCTCTAAATTTTTCATGAAGTTGCAGGTGATAAAACTAACAAAAATCCATCATCTTCTTTTTCATATCTATCATGTTCATTGAGAGCAGCAAAATGTCTTTGTTCTTGACTTCTTGAGTATCCAAATATTGCTATGTATGAAATCATTCTTGGCTTCTTGAATGTCGAAATATTTGGTATTCTAGAATCAATCTTGGATTCTTTAATCATTCTTGGTTTTATGAGACCTTCAAATGAATATGAAGAACATCAACATCATTTCAAATTACAACCCAAACGTTATGACAATCCTTAAAACGAAATTCACAAATTAAAACCAAATTCACAAAATATAACCCAATCTTCCAAAATAGAATGCAAACCACATTGTATTGCTACAAGATTCTAATAGAATGAATGGTTGTACATTATACCAAAATGATGTATATTTTAACAGAATGATGTTTTTTTTAACTAATTCAGTTAAATATTCTAATAGAATGGGTTGATGAGTATTCTACACACATGTAAAATTATATGAGTTTTGTTTTTTAGTAATTTAGGAGACTACGTATAAGACGAAAACAAGTGAAAACAATAATGGTCATCTATTTACAGAGTACTATTCTAGGAACATTATATGTAAAATGTTGTTTTTCAATTGTTGATATTTACTGTATTTCTCTTATTGCTGATATGTACTGATATGTATTGTGTTTTCATGACTTAATAAAAGCTTTTAATCCAAAAGATGTGATTTTTATGATAACTTTCAAGTACAATTTATTTATGTATGCTTCTATATGAAATAACTTCAAAATAATCGCTAACAACAAATCCTCATAGACCTACATAGACCTACTGAACACATATGTAAATGAAACTTAACTAACTAAACTAGAAAAAGGGAAAAGAAAATAGCATACTTGCATCAGATAAGATCTGTACGAGATGGTGGAATCAAGCAAAACATGAAGCAGAGAAGAATCTTTGAATTGAGTTAAGTGGTAATAAACCCTAGGAGCAGCCAGCTATATCATGACTACCATATGCCATCACCATCGAAAATTACACCACCAAAGAAATCAACTATAATACAATTCTGTTATGATCCAGTAAACAGTTGTCAAGACCCAATAATTAAAATTCCATACGCAACCAATAAAAAAGTTATAATCTTAAAATTAATAAAAGGAAATAGACAAGAGTGATGTAGGGCTGACCTTCCAGAATTCCTTAAGAATATTCTTTTTTTGCTTTTACTTTTCCTTTTCGTGAGGGGGGATGGATTCCACAGGTCGTCAATTTGTTTAGCGGTGTCGTGATGGAGTCCGTTGGTCGACGGTGGTGGGAGGAGACAGGCATGGGTGAGCGTTTGATGTTAGGAATTGCTTCCCATATAGTAGTCGAAGGCGCGGGATGGAGGACGATAGAGCACAGGGAAGGCAGCGAAGCAAAACTCAAAGAATTTGGGGATAGAGAGTTCGATTTGGGAAACTTAAATTTATTAAAATTGAGATGAGGCTCTGGTGAAACTGATATCTTTAATTTAAGGGATATTAATTGATTTAGTGCTTTTACCATATATATATATATATATATATATATATATATATATATATATATATATATTATAACTAAGATTATAATTATACCCTTATGTTATTTATTAATAATTTAATTTTTTTCTTAAAATTTGATTGGTCCCTACATCCACACAATAGATGTGGATCCACATATGAACCTAACTATATATATATATATATATATATATATATATATATATATATATATATATATATATAAAAGTGTATGTGCTTGTGTGTGTGGAGAGAGAGAAAATAGAGTTCAATGGGGATTGAAATCCCCATTCTATTGAATGTCAAGTTATCAACCACAATGGCAATTAAGAGTTTAATGAGATTCAACTCCCCATTAAATTCTCATTGGAGACGGTCTTAGAATAAGTTTCATCAATTTCCTTTCTAAATTGTTTGTTTTATGAAATTTAAGAAATGTGTTTTGTGCTATTTCTCACCAATTATCACAAAGGCCGAATATGGTGAAAAATGCTCACATGTAACACTCACTATAAAAGGTAGGGTTTACCTTGTAAAAGTTTATATTAGAAGAAGGTAAAACTAGACATATATATTCAACAAGCAAGTCAAGTTCAAGTTAATCCCAGACACCAAAGTTAAATTTCTAGGCACCTAGTATATGTTCTCGGGACCAAACATATGGCGTGATATGTGCGTCGAACATAATTATAGAAGGTTGTTACACTGAAGATCCCGAACACACTTTCACATATAAAAAAATGCAGACATACATATGCATAAATATACATACACAACATATATATATATATATATATATATATATATATATATATATATATACACACACACATACGAGACAGATACATACATACACATACGCACATATACAAATAGATATGCAGACATAAAAAAACATAGAAATAGAAACACAAACCCACACATACTAAAGGGATTAAAGTCAATGATAACTAAACAAAATTATAAAAGAATTATGTATCCTAACAACTACGGATGTATGAGCATTAGATAAACCAAATAAATAGATCCAAGAATGCAATTTACCCTTTTTTGCATATACACAAACATAATCAACCCAATCTTCATGAACCCTTAACTGATCGAAAGGGAACATAAGTTCTTCATTTTGATGTTGAAAATACACTAAATTTTTCTCCCATATTGTAACACCTCAAATTCCAAGTATTAACATTTTGACCCTTATCATGAGAATTATTTTTCAAAGTTGGTCCCATGTGGCATTTAAGTGAAAATCGGAACTCGATCACGTACGTTGGGCGTATGTGGCAGAGATTCAAACCCTAGTTTTTAAGGTTTGGACCCTATTTAAACATCTTTAACCCATTGATGCCTCTTCATTCTTTGGCCTCCACCTCCATCTTCGACCCTAGCTAACCCTAATCCATTTTTGAGCATTCTTGAGCCATTAGTTTGTGTTTTGGTGTTCACAGAGGAAGGAGAAGGAAAGGATAATATATTGGAAGTTTGGAGAAACCTTGGATCTGGAAGTTTTGCACCCTCCTACATCTCCAAAAGCTATAAATTTTATATATTGATGCTTATTTGGTTATATCTAGCTTGTATGATGTTATTATGTGCTTTTGTCCCCAATAAATGATGTTCTTGAGTATGACATGCTCTATACCCAAATAGATTGTCCTTCCAGACGTTTTGGAGTGTCTAAGGTCATAAAAATGCAATCTTGGTCATTATTTTCCTTCCATGCATGGGTTATAATGTCTTAATGAGTTAAGAAGTTAGGGTTTTTAGTGTTGAGCACTTCCTAGCCATGCAAAGTCATAAAGTTGGAAACTTTATGATTTAAGATGTTATTTGGGTCTAGATCTGGATTTTAGATGAAAGGGCTTAAGGGATTAAGCTCTTAATAGAAAGAGAAGTTGGTTGGAACGTACGTTGGGCGTACGCTAGAGTACGATACGTGTACATGGTCAACAACCCATTTTTGGTCAAGCCCCGTGTACATCAT